TCAGGTTGGAGTCAGTGCGGCTGGAGTACCGGGCGGGGCTGAAGAACATTGCCAACACGCTCATGGCCAAAGCACTACAGGAGTGCCCCAACTCCGGTGAGGGCCCTGCCTCCTCTCTCTCACTCTCACTCTCTCTCTCTCTCTCTCTCACTCACCCCCCCTTATCTGGTCCCAAGCCTTTCGCTAACACGGTAGGGAAAAGTGGGGATGAGATGGAAGGGAGACGTCACCCTCGTGCTGCTGCTCAGGTCTTGGGCGTGGAGCTGTTGTGGGATGTGGGTCCCACGGGGTGCCAGTCACCACCCTATAGCTTTGTTAAAAGCAGGACATTTTGCGAGAATGTCGTGGACTTAGATGCTCTGTCCACTTCATCCACTTCACCAGGCTTGTTGTGCACACTTAGATCCACTCCCTTTTTTATTTTTCTTAAACATTTATTTAGTCATTTGAAAGGCAGAGTTAGAGACAGAGAGGTCTTCCATCTGCTGGTTCACTCTCCAGATGGCCACAACAGCTGGAGCTGTGCCTGTCCAAAGCCAGGAGCCAGGAACTTCTTCCGGGTCTCCCAGGCGGGCGCAGGGACTTGAAGACTTGGGCCGTCTTCTACTGCTTTCCCAGGCCGTAGCAGAGACCTGGATTGGAAGTGGAGCAGCCGGGGCTCAAATTGGCCCCCATATGGGATGCAGGTGGTAGCTTTACCTGCTACACAGCGCTGGCCCCTCTCCACTGCCTTTTTTTTTTTTTTTTTTTAAGATTTATTTTATTTATTTGAAAGAGTTACAGAGAGAGGTAGAGACAGAGAGAGAGGTCTTCCATCCACTGGGTCACTCCCCAGATGGCCACAACAGCTGGAGCTGCGCCGATGCGAAGCCGGGAGCTTCCTCTGGGTCTCCCACGTGGGTGCAGGGGCCCAAGGACTTGGGCCATTTTCTACTGCTTTCCCAGGCCATAGCAGAGAGCTGGATTGGAGAGGAGCAGCCGGGACTAGAACAGGTGCTCATATAGGATGCCGGTGTTTCAGGCCAGGGCGTTAACCTGCTGCGCCATAGCGCCAGCCTCCACTCCGATTTTTAATCTGATACTGCTTTGAGGTAGCTGTCTTTCTGTTTGAGTCTTCACTAGCAAAAGGTTTTTTTTAATTTATTTGAAGGACAGAGTGAGAGACCAGTACCTTCCATATGCTGGTTCACTCTCCAAATGGCCACGATGGCTGGGGCACAGCCCCAGGCCCAAGCCAGGAGCCTGGAACTCCATCCGGGTCTCCACTGCTTTCAGGTGCGTTAGCAGGAGCTGGACCATGGCCCTTGCCCTGCATTTGTGGTTGCTCAGTTGCCGTGGGTTCTCAGACGGGAAGTTACACAGCCGGTGGGAGGGGCCTTGCAGGCGCTGGAACTGCACAGAGCCGAAACAGTGGGGCTGCCGTTCTGGCGGTGGCTCGAAGCCTCTGTGGCTCCCCAGCAGGCCCTGGCTGTGGTCAAGGCCCTCCTAGCCCGTGTGGTGTGGGGGTAGGTTCCTAAGCCGGAGCGGAGAGGCCACGGCACAGGCGCATCACTGTCTGAGTTGCAGGTGTGCTGTGGTCTGAGGCCATCTTCCTGGAGGCGAGGCCCCAGAGGAAGACCAAGAGCGTGGATGCCCTGAAGAAGTGTGAGCACGACCCCCACGTGCTCCTGGCCGTGGCCAAGTGAGTGGCTGCCCTCGCGGGGTCCTGAGGGGCTGTGGGGGCTCAGTTCCCCACAGCGGGTGGTCTCCAGGGAGGGGCCCCACCACGTGGGCTCCTGGCAGTAAGGGGGTCGCCCCTCTGCTCTGGGCTCCCTCGCTGTGACCGTGTGTGCTGCTCTCGTCTCAGCCACTGTGACACCTGCCTTGACCTGGGATTCAGGCCAGGCTTACGCACAACTTAGAAAAGGCTTCTTGGGGGTGGGGGGCCCCTCGGTGCCTTCAGCTCTGATGGGGGAACAGTGCCCATGGGTTCCACCGTCATCAGTGGACCTGGGAGGTGGTCACAGGGGATGAGGCTGGGGTGTGAACGCACATGGCCGTGAAGCCCAGGGTGGGGGCAGCTGTTTGTGGCTACAGCAGAGAGCCCAGGGCAGTGGGAAGGCTGGGGTGTGCAGTGCCTGCAGGGCCTCGAGAGCCATCTGACCCTGCAGGGTCTTAACTCCCTTCTGGGAAGAGGACAATAGCCGAGGGGCTCGGCCTGAGTCTGGGCAGGAGGTAGGGGCAGGGGTAGTGTTGGAGGCGGTCAGGAGGGGTGTTGGTCTCCTGCGTGGGCTCTGAGGCCTCAGTGAGGACAGCGGCTTGTCCACCGGAGGTCTCCCTCAGCTCTGGAGGTGGCAGCTTGTGACCGTGGCGGTGCGGCCCTCAGAGCCCTGCCCGGCACCTCCACCAGTGCTGTGGGTGTGTGGGAGGGGGCATGGCCTAGCTTCCTCCTGAGGAACTTGCGTGCGGCTCGATAGGGCGGCCATAAAACCTTATAAAAAGCTTTGCTAAAGTAAACAAGGCGCTCCTTGCCGTTCGGCAGCTCAGTGTCCGTGTGTCAGCTATCTGGGTTTGTGTTCTTGAAATCACAGTTTATCTAACACCAAGCAATTAAGAATACCACAAGGCTTAAAAACCAATCAGGTTATCTGGGCCCGAAGTGATTCCTGGTGGTAACTGCCAGGCTTCCTGTGCACTCTCAGTGGGGGTGGGGCCGGGTGAGGATGGAGGTCACCCCACTCCTCAGTGACCCTGCCTTGGGCCGGTGGGGTGGGGGTGGTCTGACAGGCCGTGCTCTGGGCTCCCAGTGCAGGTGTGCCCCTGGCCTGAGTTCCCAGGCTCTCTGGCAGGTGCAGCTGCTGTGGCCTGGCCTTGAGCCCTGGTGCCCAGGGGTGTGGTGGGGCTGCGTGGGCACAGACCTCGCTTCTCCTGGTCACCTCCTGTAAACATGTGGAAACTGGAATTAAAAGATGCATTTGTCTTGGTGCAAAAATGATGAAATCTTTGTCTTAATATGCATTTTCTATGAACTTTTAAAAAAGATGTATTTATTTACTTGAAAGGCAGCGTTACGGAGAGGCAAAGCCAGAGAGACAGAAAGAAAGGTCTTCCATCCACTAGTTCACTCCCCAAATGGCCGGAGCTGGACCGATCCAAAGCCGGGAGCCAGGAGTTTCCTCCGGGTCTCCCATGTGGGTGCAGGGGCCCGAGGCAATGGACCCATCTGCTGCTGTTTGCCAGGGCGCTAACTGGAGCCCATACAGGATGCTGGCACTGCAGGTGGTGGCTTCACCTGCCACGCCACAGCATCACCCCATCTGCCTGTTCACTCCCCGAGTGCCCACGAGAGCTGGGGCTGGGCTTGGTTAGAGTCAGGGCCTGGAACTCAGTCCAGCTGTCTCACGAGGGCGGCAGGAGCAGGAGCCCCGTGGTGTTGGACCCAGGCTCTCACACGTGACACTGGGCTGCCTCTGTGGGCTTTATGAAGATGCCCCGGATGCATGGACTCGAGTGTTCTGCACCAGACATCTTTCAGCTGCATTTTCCGTGAACTTTTTGAAGTACCCTCACGCTTAGTCCAGAGAAAAGGAGGTTTGGAGGAGTTTGAAGATGCTGTGTGTGAATTTTGCCGCAGGGGACATTTGCTGGTGGGTCTGTCCTAGGAGGTTACGTGCAGGCTGGGACACCTGCCTCCCTGTGAGGGCACTGGGTTCAAGTCCCCGCTTCTGCTGTCACAGCCCCATGGAGGCAGCAGAGGTGGCTGAAGTAGCTGGCCCCACCCTCCATATGGGAGACACCGTTGGCTGTGTGGCCACTCACCCAGGGTGCCCCCCCTCTCCCGGAGCAGGCTGTTCTGGAGCGAGCGGAAGATCACCAAGGCCAGGGAGTGGTTCCACCGCACCGTGAAGATCGACTCGGACCTGGGGGACGCCTGGGCCTTCTTCTACAAGTTCGAGCTGCAGCACGGCACTGAGGTGAGACCCGGGCTGGGTGTGCCTCCCTGTGGGGGCGGGCACAGCCCTGGTGGGCTCAGGCTCCAGAGCTGCTTTCTGGCTGCAGTCCACACCCTGAGACTTGGACGCCTGGTCCGTTTCAGGTGGCCTTTAGTGCACTTCAGTGAGTTGTGTGGTGGCTGGGGCCAGGGCTCACCTGTTTGTTGGGGGCAGATGTTTGGTGTCGCTGGGACCCCTGTGTCCCAGGCTGGGGGCCCTGGGTTCAGGTTTGCTTCCTGTGAGTGCTCCCCTGGGAGGCAGCAGGTGCCAAGGAGCTGGGCCCTGCCACGCACGCGGGACACCAGGATGGAGCTCCTGGCTCCTGGCTCCTGGCTGTGGCCTGGCCCAGCCCTGCTGTTGCAGCTGTTTGGGGAGTGAACTGGCAGATGGAAGGTCTCTGTCTCTGCTCTTCAAATAAACAAACTTTTTTTTTAAAGAAAGAAATGGGAATCTTGTTGGTCTGAGCTGGCTGTGGCTTTCCCAGGGACCCTGGGCAGCAGCTGCCTCCCAGGTGTCGTTAGAACCATGGCCACAGGGCCTGGCAGCTCCCAGCTGTGCCTTGTGCTTGAGGGGTGTGGTCTCCCCAGGGCCTGCCCTCTGCCTCCAGCTGGGGCTCAGGGAGCAGCCTGGGCGGGGCCGTGCTGATGCGCCTGTGGCCCCCCAGGAGCAGCAGGAGGAGGTGAAGAAGCGCTGTGAGAACGCGGAGCCCCGGCACGGGGAGCTGTGGTGTGCTGTGTCCAAGGACATCGCCAACTGGCAGAGGAAGATCGGGGAGATCCTGGTGCTGGTGGCCGCCCGCATCAAGAACACCTTCTGACCCTGCTGCTCCCGCGGGCTCCCGGCGAGGCGGGGCGGCCTGGCTGTCCTCATTAAAGGGGTTCCTGCGAGCTCTTCCCTGGGTTGTGCTGTCACTGCCCTGGCGGAGATCCCACAGACGGCCTTTAAGTTGTGGCTCAACCATGATGCCGGGGTTGAGCTGTGCCAGGAGCCTCGTGTGGCTGCAGCTGGAGGCTGCAGGCTGTCTCCTTGGCCTGTGGGCACAGGAGGTTGGGGGGACGAGGGTGCTGCACACAGGGCTGAGGGCGAGGGCACTGCTGGCAGGGGTAGGGGTGAGGGTGAGGGCGCTGCTGGCAGGGGTAGGGCTGAGGGCTAGGGCGCTGCTGGCAGGGGTAGGGGTGAGGGCGAGGGCACTGCTGGCAGGGGTAGGGGTGAGGGCGAGGGCGCTGCTGGCAGGGGTAGGGCTGAGGGCGAGGGCGCTGCTGGCAGGGGTAGGGCTGAGGGCGAGGGCGCTGCTGGCAGGGGTAGGGGTGAGGGCGAGGGCGCTGCTGGCAGGGGTAGGGCTGAGGGCGAGGGCGCTGCTGGCAGGGGTAGGGCTGAGGGCGAGGGCGCTGCTGGCAGGGGTAGGGGTGAGGGCGAGGGCGCTGCTGGCAGGGGTAGGGGTGAGGGTGAGGGCGCTGCTGGCAGGGGTAGGGCTGAGGGCGAGGGCGCTGCTGGCAGGGGTAGGGGTGAGGGCGAGGGTGAGGGTGCTGCTGGCTGCAGTCGCAGCAGCTGGAGGCTCCCTGGAGCCTCGGTGCAGCCTGGCCCAGTGCCGCCCCGGGGTGTCCACACTGCCCTCGGAGCTCCCTCCCTTCTGTAGGTGGGTGTTTTGTGCTGCTTCACGGTCATCCGTTTCATCCTGGAACACTTGGACTTCCCCCTTCTTGGACTGGAAACTGCCCTCTTCAGGCCTGGGGTCGGTGCGAGGGCCCGGCCAGTTCCCTGGCGGTGGTTCGCAGGCCTCGCTGAGCGTGGCTGGAGATCACAGGCCGGCGCAGAGCTGCGGGTCTTCAGGTTGGCCCTGGAGGAGACAGGCGGGCTCTCAGGCTGAGGCCTGCTGTGTGGAGTTGTGGCCAGAGTCCACAGAAGGGTCTTGGTGCCAGGGCGGGGCTCGTGCACGGTCAGGGACCATCTGCCCGAGGGGACGTGGGGTGGGGCGGGGCGCCACCAGTCGCCTTGGCTCTCGAGTGCTCTGTGGCAGTTGCTTGACCAGAGCCCGCCTGTCCCAGGCAGGTGTGGACACCAGGAGCAGCGCGGGGCAGTGGCTATTCCGTGCAAGCCGTCAGCCCCCAGCTTGTCCACTCCTCTGACCTCACAGCCGACAGTGCTGACGACCAGGTGGGCAGCCAGGCTCTCAGAGAAGAATGTTCCTGTGGGGCTCCCTGCAGAGCCCCTGCATCGCCAGTGTGTGGACGTGGCCCTTGCTGTCTCATCTGGTTGGGGGCAGGTGCCCTGGGGTGATTGCGCTGCCCCCCCCCCCCAGGGGAAATGCCCTCAGCTCTGGGATTTTAGCCACAGCTGAAGGCCAGGGGCCTTTGGCCTGCAGACCAGTGGTCACAGCTGGGCACTCTGGGGCAGCAAGTACCAGAGGAACAACCCTGGGACTGGAGGGGTGAAGCCAGGCCAGCAGTGGGGGGCGGGTGGGGCCACCTGGGTGCCAGGGTGCAGGAGCTGGCAGCCATGGGGCCCCCAGGAGAGTGGCACCTGCTGACCACTGAGGCAAACCCACTAGCTGGCCCTGCACTGCCTCCGAGGCACCTGCACAGCAGCCCTGGACCCACTGGGTAGGCTGCCGCTGGCCTCTGGAGCCAGGCTTGCCGATTGCTCGGGGGTGGGGAGAGGGGGCAGGGCTGGGGCTGTTGGGCCTCCCTCCCTCCCCTCCCTCCCGTGCTGGAGGAGCCAGCTTCAGACGGTCTCCCTCTGCCTGCCCTGCACAGTCCATCTAGGCAGCCAGTCCAGGGGGACCCCCGTGGCGGTGCAGGTGCCCTGCACTGCCCACCCAGGGACCCTGGCAGACCTCAGGATCATGTGAGTGGCTTGCTCGAGGGAGTGAGGGAGACCCAGACCTGGAGAGGCCCATGGTGAGCAGCTGGGGCCTCTGGGGAGGGGGCTCGCCTGGGCCTAGGGGCTGGGATGCCCCATGCCACTGGGAAGTCCCCAGTTGGTCCTGGTGCCGGTGCCGGTGCCCTGGCCTCGCCTGCACGGGTGGGAAGGAGTCTTGGGGCAGACCTGTGTTTTCCTCCACTCTGGGCTGAGGCTGGGGTTGGGTTTTGGGCACTGGGGGGTGGTCACAGGGGCTCCTGGGGGCACGGTGTGGGACTGGACATCCGTTCAGCTCCAGCCAGCCTGACTGTCCACTGTGGCCTCTGACCCCTGCTTGCAGAGGGGAAGGAGACTTCACGCAGGCGCCACCCTGGGACAGCGGCTGCAGGGGCTGGTTGGGGTGCTGTTTGGGAAGCCGAGTCTCGTCTCGCTTGGTTCACATGATTGATTTTGCAGCCTGAGTCAGTGAGTGACTCCAGCCTGGGGGCCATCAGCTGGCTCCGGGGTGCTTCCCCTGAGCAAGTCCCCTCCTCTGTGGGGGAGGCATGATGGGACAGCCCCTTCCTCCCCCATTGCCTTGGGCTGGAGGGGGGTTCCCGAGCCTTCCTCTTTCAGTGAGGTGTGGCTTGGAGGGCCAGGGGAGCCCACTTCCCACAGCTCAAAGCCAATGAGGGTGGGGACACCAGCCCAGGGCGTCCCGAGTGGACGGGCAGGATTGTTGCCACAGGGCAGGGCAAGGCTGTGCTGGGGGGGATTTCCTGCTGTCCCGCGTGGCCCAGGGAGCTACCGGATGAGCCCTGCCCCATGGAGCCTCAGCCGGTGGGGGGGGGGGCGTGGCCCACCCTTCTGGACCCGCCCCTCTTGCAAGGCTCCGTGGAACGGCCTCCCACGCCCCGTCACCCACGGAAGAGCACGGAGCTGCCCGTTTCCAGGCCCCTCAGAGCTGCTCTAGAGTAGGTGGGACCTGTGCCTGGAGCCTGATGAGTTGAGCCACTTCCGGGGCTGCTTGTTGGGCTGCGGGGCCCCGTAAGCCCCCGACCTGGTGTCGCCTCCAGGTGCGCCCTACGCCGGTGCTCTGGGTGCTCCTGCTGGCGCTGCTGGGGACCACGCCGAGCCGATCCGGGCTCCGCACCTGCAGCGTCCCGGACGTACTGCGCCACTACCGCGCCATCATCTTCAAGGACCTGCAGGCGGCGGTGAGGAGGGGCACGCCGGGCGTCGAAGGCACAGGGCCGGGCTCACGACGCCTCCACGCCACTCAGAAAAACCCGCCCGGGGCCTCCTGTGGCGCCCAGGAGGTACAAAGGCGGCCCCGACCCTTGCGTGCCCTGTGGCCTCACGACCGGGCGCCGCCCTCATCCCCCGCTGGGTTTCCTCCCTTGCCTCCCAGGAACACAGCATCCTCCTGTCCATCGCGTCCCTGGGCCGGACCCTGCGCCGGGCAGTGGAGGCGGGCCGCCGCGGGGCCCTGGAGAGAGCGGCGTGGACCGTGGCCGTCCGCACCGAGGCGGTGATGCGGCGCCACTGCGGGACGCTGCGCCAGGTGTGCGTCCTCGGTGAATGCGGACCCAGAGCACCCCCACCCCCACCCCACACACCGCGCGCCCTCACGGCCCTGGGGCTCACGTCCCGCCCGCTGGCCAGGCGGCGACTCCCTCCGTGGGGCGGGCGCGGGCACCCTGCGCATACACTGACCGCCTCGTCCCCGACAGCAGCACCCGCGGCCCCGGGCGCGCGCAGCTCGGCGTCCCGGCGGCCGGAGGCGGCTCCTGCTGCGAGCCCTGGACACCGTCGCCACCTGCTGGGAGAAGCTCTTCGCGCTGCGCGCTGTGGTCCGGCCCGGGCCTGCCCCCAGCGTCCTGCGCCCGCCTGGGAACTGAGGGGTCCGCGACAGAGCCTGGGATGAACCCCTCGGCCCCCCTCTAGCCGACGGGCCCTTCGCAAAGTGCGCAGGATTGGGAGAGGCGCGCGCCGCCGGCCCCCGGAGGTGTCCTGCTCCGCAGGCGCCCAGGGACACCTCAACAACAGGAGCTGGGGTTACCCGCATCCCACATTGCGGTCCTGGTTACTTCCGGCCCAGCTCCCCGCTGATGCGCACCCCAGGAGGCGCGGCGGTTGGCTCGAGTGCTTGGGCTGCTTATTACCTCGGGCGAGACCCCGGGGGCGTCCCCGTTCCCGGCCTCTACCTGCAGCCCTGGCTGTTGTGGGCATTGGAAGAGCGATGAATCTATCATTCTCCCCCTACCCCCGCTCAAGTAGATGACAAATAAATGGGGCTGGTGCTGCGGGTCCAGCTCTCGCCTGGCTGCGGCTACAGGCGCCCCCGGACAGCTCCGCGGCGGGCAGCGCGCGAGGCCGCGCTCCCAGCTTCTGGCGGCAGGGGGCGGGCGCGAGACACGGCCCACGCGGCCGCTGCCCCGGACTGGGTCCAGGGGGCCCTAAGGAGCGTCACGCATCCGTCCTGCTTCAGCCGGGACCGAGGGAAGGGGTGGAAATGAGGGGGGTGGGGAGCTTGGTGAATTCAGAGCAAAACAACCGGATAAAGGAAGCGTGGCTGGCTGGAGCTGGGCCGGCCGCTTCCTGGTGCCTGAGCGGCCCCAGCCCCTCTGCTGGGGGCCTTCCGGCTACTGGGTCGGTGCTAACGCCCCCACAGCCACATGGACCTGGCCGGCTGGCAGTGCACGCTGGGCTCAGCCCTGTCCTCGCCTCCGGAGTCAGCGAGGCAGGCCTTGCCCAGGAGAGCACAGGGCGTTCAGTGTGGGGCAGTTGTTGGCCAGGGGACAGCATAGATGAGGAACTGTGCATGCCCAGTCACACAGCCATCCGGGGGATGTGGGAGCCGTGGTCACTCGCACAAGTGCGGACCACTCCCAGGTCGCGGGGCTCCAGGGAGCAGGGGGCTTGGGCTTCCCCGGGTGCAGGAGGGGGTGAGGGCAGGTCCAGAGTCCTCCTTGTGAGCTTGGGGCACATTAGTAGGGGAGTGGAGGAGTGCTGAGGTGCCAAGGACACAGGCTGGGTGAATTTACACTGCCCCCTTCCCCCCCGCTAGGCAAGGCCCAGTGTGGTGGGGGCAACAGCTGAGAGCCCAGGGCTCTGGGTGCCGGGACAGGCCCTCCACAGTGGCTGCCCCCGCCCCAGAGGCAGTGGGACTGGGCACGGTCCCACAGCTGCTGCTGCCCTCCCGTCTGGGCTGGGCCATCAAAGCCTCAGGGTTTGGGGGTCAACACCTGGGTCCTGGACCACAGCCACGGGGATGCTGGGGGTCCTGCATCCTGGCCCAGGTTCCTCCCCAGAGCCTCCCACCACTGTCAGCCTGGGGGACCCCCGGCCAACCCAGCACGGAGAGGAGGGGTTTCTGATCTCACAGACCAGGTAGCCTGCCATGAAGGCTCAGACTGCTGAGAGACATGGAGAATGGCGGCAAGCCGGTGCCAGTTCACGCTAAGCCCGGGACCCCGCCGTGGGCCCGCAAAGCTCCTGCATAGTGGCCATGGTTTGCTGACGTGGCCCAGCCTGCAGCACAGGGACCACCAGTCCTGGGGCCATTCAGCAGAGGCCACAGGGCCATAGCCAGGCACTGCTACTGTGCTGGGCCTGCACCTGCAGTGTCCTCACCCCTGCCTGCTGTCCCTTCCCCGGGAGGTGGACGCTGTGGCCAGCAAGAGGGAGCGGTGCCAGGGTTGTGCAACTTCCTGAGCCCAGGAACCCCCGCCTCTCCCCCCCCCCCCACCATGTGCAGCTCTGGCAGGAGGGGCCAGGCCGGCTTTGAAGGGAGCCTGGGTCCCATGGCCTCCCCAGACTGGGAGCCTTTGAAAGAACATCTGGAACTCGGGCACCCGGCAAGCTGGGCTCCGGAGTTTCACACCAAAAGTTAATCCTGACTTTGCCACTTGTGTGTTCCCCTCCCCTGCCTAAATGCCCACCATGCTCAGGCCCCGTGCACGCTGGGAGGGGCGGTCTGCTCCGTTGCCTGCACAGCAAGGAGGCCGGGAGGAAGCACCTGCTCTCAGGCCCGAGTGAAGCCGGGTTTTGCGTGTGGACGCTCCAGCCCCAGGTGTGCAGGGATGCCGCTCCAACAAACAAGGCCCCCACCCCAGGAAGCACTCACTGGGGGAGGGGGTGCCAGGTGCGGGACCCATTGTCCCGGCCAGTGGCCTTTGGAGCCCTGGGGGAGGCTCAGGGACAGCCCCCATCCTGCTGCCTTCCCAGGAAAATACCCAGTTTTGTAAACACAGAAATAAACAACCATCACTCCCCCCCACCCTCTTAAAATCCGGGAAAGCAGCACGGACATCGCACCTGCTGTGGGAAGCCAGTTCTAGTTTGGGGGAGGGGGAGGGGCAGACTCCTGAGGTTAAGCACCGCCCCCCGGGGGTCACCTCCCGCCTCCTTGGAGTCCTCAGGTGCTGCCTGCCGAGGGGACAGCGCCCAGCACCGTGGGGTCCTGCCTCCCCCACTTGTGCCAGTTGCGGCTTGGGAGAGAGGACCAGGACTGCCCAGCAGGTGAGAGGCGGTCCGTGGGCGGCCCCAGCGCCCCTGCCCGGCGCTAGGCCAGGGGTCGGCGCTGCCGGCGGAGATAAGCGCACCCAGCGTTTCCTCCGCGCCGCCGCTTCCTGTTTTCTCGCGGCGGGGGGAGGGAGGGTGTCGTGGGAGGCGGGGGCGGGGCCGAGGTCGCAGGGGTCGGGGGAGCCTGGAGGTGGGGGGGGGCGGAACCCCCCCACGCCCTGGCCCGACTCCCCCCCCCCCCCGAAGGACCACCCTTGGCTCTGCCCAGCTTGGGCCCCACTGGGGGCCTGGCTGAGCCTCTCCCTGCAGAGCCGTGGTCCACCCTCAGCCCTGGGAGGTCTCTAACTCAGGCCTGGTCCTGACAGGTGCAGAACCACGCAGCTTTAGGGAAAGCAGGCACCCGCTCCTGGGATGTCACTCAGCCATGCGCGCACTGCGAACAGGGCACCAGGTCTGAGACCAGTGACTCCAGGTGCAGCCTCCCTGGTCCGGCTCACCTGAAGGACACCAGACTCAGGGCAGCCAGCCCCACGTGTCCAGTGTTCTGTGCACGCACACGGGTGATAGGTATGAGTTGTGTGTTACACGTAGTGGGATAGTGCAGTACAACTGCCGCTTGGAGGAGTTGCATGAAGCTGCCCCGCCGCCCATGCTGTCCCCCCGCCCCCCCACTGCTGTGCTGTCCCCTGCTGCTGTGTTGTCTCCCCCCCATGCTGTCCCTCTCCCTGACCCCTGGCCCATGCTGTCCCCCCCCGCTGTGCTGTCTCCCCCCTCCCGTGCCACCTGCCCTCCCAATGTCTACCCCCATGCTGTCTCCCCACCCCCTGCTGTGCCACCTCCCTCCCCATGCTGTCTTCCCTGCCCCCCCTGCTGTCTCTCCCTGCCCACCCCGTATTGTCTCTCCCTGCCCCCCCTGCTGTCTCCCCGCCCCCCCGTGCTGTCTCCCCTACCCCCCCTGCTGTCTCCCCCTGCGTGTCCACGACCACCATAGCTCCAGAGCAGAACTGACAACCGGGGACCTCCGTGAGCCATAAGCCGTGAGCCCAGGCGAGAGCAGGACAGGGGTCCAGTGCAGAGGGTGGGCTTCCTCCGGGGTGATGATGGTGGCGATGGCTGGCAGTGACCCTGTGAATTGTACGCCCGCGTCTCATGTAGGTTTTGGAGAATATAAGACAAGCGGCTGAGTTTTCTAGAGTATTCCGACAAGTGGAGGGAGAGAGAGGCTTCGGTCCCCCCCACGCCTGCCCTGCTGGGCCCAGTGTGGCCTTGTCGGTGCCAGGTGCGTCCCAGGCGTGTCCCAGAGATGACCACGTCTGCTGAGGCTGCTCCAGTGCTGCATTGGCCCCCAGTTCCCCGGACCCCTCCTCAGGGCTGCCTGCTGGGGGTCAGCGTTGCTCCCAGCTCCCTCCCACAGGCTGGGAGCAGGTGGCTGGTGAGGCTGCAGGAACTTCCCACAGGAGGAGGTGGCCTGGGCCTCTCCTGACTCAGCGGGGCGAGGGGTGGGGACTTCCTTTCTCAGACCCTTGGGATGGAGACCAGAGCCAGGAAGGCGGGAGCTGGGAGGCTGCGGCCCCGGGTGGGGCCTCCCAGGCCCAGAGCCTCTGTCCCAGGGAGGGGTCCCAGGCAGGCACTGGAAGGAGCTGCCCCCTCCCTGTGCTGAGGCTGCTGTGGGAGCTGCCTGTCCTTTGGCGGGAGCCCCTCGTGCTGCCCTCACTCCCAGGACTCCCCCTTGTAAGTGGGAGAGGGGCTCCCAGGGATGTGTGCTGCTGGGTCACCTCCTGCCCAGGCATCGGGCCAAGGTCCACCCCAGGTCCCCTGCTGGCCCAGAAGAGGGGGCGGGTCCTCAATGAGAATGTGCTTCTGGCCTGCCCCAGGCCCTGTATCTGTCCCGTGTGTGCGTGTCCCCAGGTGTGTCCCGTGTGTGTGCCCTGTATGTGTCCCATGTGTATGTATCTGTCACATGTGTGCATGTGTCTCCTGTGTATGCATGTGTGTGTCCCCATGTGTGTGTGTGTCTTGTGTGTATGTCTGTCCTGTGTGTGTGTGCGTGTCCAGTCATTGCTGTGGGCAGTGGGAAGATGCCCAACCCGACAGGGAGGCCAGAGCTCTGGGGCTGGGCAGCTCCTCCTGGCCTGTTGGCTTCTGGTCTACATCTGTCCTCTGCCTGTGTCTGCTTCGCTGCTGGTGGGTGGGAATGGGGTCCTGGGGACAGTGCCCCCCACCCCACCGTGGCGCTGCTGAGTGCAGACGTGACATCACCCTGCCTCCCAGGGCAGCACTCAGGTGGACACACAGTGGACGGTCGAAGCCACAGATGTGGTCACAGGTACAGGCACCCAGAGTCAGGCCCAGCCACAGCTGCCACACACACACACACACACACACACACACAAGGGCGGCCACACACATGGGGACACACACGGGACAGATGCATACACGTGGGGACACACACGAGGGGACACACATGGGATAGACATACACATGTGGGGACACATACAGGACAGATGCACACCTGTGGAGACACACACATGAGGACAGACATACACACAAGGACATGCACACACACAGGGCAGCCACAGAGTCTACCAGGGACGGTGAGTGCAGGTGACTGCTCCACATCAGAGTTGTGTGCTGGGGGGTGTGGGGGTAGGACAGAACCCCTCCCCCTGAGACATGAAACCCTCCTCCTTGCTCAGACCCCCTAGGCCCTGCAGGGTGGGCAGGGCTGCCTGTGTCTGGACATGTGGGCATGCCCGGTGAGGGGACACCAAGCAGGTGGCATGGAGA